ATTATTATTATTAAAAAATATTTAAAGAGGGAGCCCAGCTCGCCATAGCGGTTTTCAGTGGGGCCCTCAACATTAACGATGTATAAAATAAGTAATCACGTAATTCATAAGTAAAAGCTCACAGTGGGAATTATGAAATATCTGAAACATGACATGAACAGAAAATAACAAAATCGATGAGCAAGAGATGACACACTAAACGAACTTATTAATATTCAAAATGTTTAAGCAATGAAATTTTAAAAGCATCGTAAGGTAGACATCTCATGTCTTCTGGAAGGAAATTCCAGTATAGCTGTCAATGCAAGGATCTGAGTAGACCCCAGTTCGTGTTTGATCTAAACAAAATAGGACAAAAATCTCACGGAAAAAATTCTCATGGACTAGAAGCTGGTCAAAAATCCTCGCGTCTGAAGTGTCAGTGAATTTTGTAGTTGTATGGTATGAACCATAAGTTACTGATTGCTCCCATACGACGAGATTGAATTTTTCAGATATCAAACACTTACTTGGCTAGTCAGCAAAATTGGACAAAAACTCTTGCCGGCGAAATATCTACTACCATTTGCAACCCCACGAGACAATCTTCCTCGTGCTCTGTCTTCATAAGAGGGTGCAATTTAACTTTGATTACGTGAATTGTGTCCAAGGTTTTAGCCAAATACATAGAAACAATATGGTTTATAGGACTTCATTGAACTTTTCAAAACCATCAATGCTTGTACAGTTATTGAGTAGCGGACATAAATGGGCCCTTCCCCGTTTGAAAATCTGCACGGTTAACTATTTGATGCATACACCTCCAAATTTTCTTTGGCCTCCACCATTTTTGCGAAAACTCTTAATACAGTGTATAACGTTGACAGCTAGTGCGTTTTCTCCTTTTTCAGTCCAGTTTTGGAATCCTTTCATGCCTGATTGTTGGATACATAATTAAACTACTGATATGAGCTTTTCCTTCAGTGCTCCTCTTAATTTTCAGCGGATTTATCGATCGAAATTGCACTGTGAACTCGGGGAAGTGGGAATGGCCGGGTGGTGAGAGCTCTCGCCTCCCATCGCTGTGGTTCGCGTTAGATTCCCAGACCTGCTGATCATATCAAATGTAGAATGATTTCTTTGTTGGTTCTCGTCCTTGCTCCGAGGGACTTTCTTCGGGTCTTCCAGTTTTCCTCCCTCCACAAAAACAAACATTGAAAATTTATAATACGACCTGGAAACAATGGACTACCTGGCGAGATGTCTACTGCTAAATTCCCTAATTTATCGTTACCATAATTATTATATTGATATATTCCTTACGATATGGTAGGAGGATGGACTCTACTGAAGCGCACGACAATTCCAGCAAATATTTCTTACCTTTCAACAAAGGCGATGCAGATGGTTGACAACTATATCGGTATTTCAAACTATACGGACGATTTTTTGTACGTCTCGATCACGGGAATCCGAGAACTTAGAAAAGCAGCCAATTTTCATCAGCTTCGGTGGTATTGCTTCAAGAAACAACCGAGCAGCGTTTTCCACGTCATGACAAAAAACGATTCCGCTGGCTACAAGGTACTCGACTACTTCTTGGAAAACCCTAACAAACCGGCTACGGCATGTGACTCTTTTGACACACTCCCGGATGATAATTCCACACTGTCTCAGAACTGTCACAAATGGGGGGCCTTCAATGACACTGTCATGGAGATGAATCAGTGGGGCTCTTATTCACACCATGGAACTAACAGGATTTACCGCCTTGTCGCTGAGTGGAAATCGGACATGAGAGCATATTCCTTTCGTCCACCGGGGCAGTTTTGGTGCGATGACCATGGGGGCAAGAATTCTCTATCCCAGGGAGACAAATGGGAAGTTTATGCTCGATAATTTGATTGGGTTAAGACTTTCTATTCATCGCTATATTCCTTGTTATGCTGTCGTATCTCATTGTTGTGCTATTGTAGCATCACTTTGCATTCTTGTAATTTTAGAACTCGTGAGCCTAAAGTACAATATGTGCTAGCTTAGTTCATACTGGTGCCCCTGACTCCAGAAAGAGTAGAACGAATTTAGGTCCTGACAAACTCACAGTGCTGTGTTCTTGGGAAGACAGTTTACTCGCGTAGAGTTTCTCTCAGCCGAAGAGTACCAGCGAATATTGTGGGGTTGCTACTCGCGTTGGAGTCGCATTTCGTTCATGAGAAATAGCACTTGAAATAGCTTTGAAAACTGAAATTAGGAATAGTAATAAGATCGAGGCACCACGGTTTATAAAAACTGAAAACCAAAAGAAAATAAGGCAAACAATTCTTTTGTTTTCTCTGGGGAGTATAACAAGGCTTAAATAGCCTGCAGAACATACATTATTTCTTTTGTAAGGGAGGCAAGCGTGGGACTGACGCGAAGTGTGAGTCATCCACGATGGGAGGAGCGCAAAAAAAAAAACAAAACTACCTTTGACATTTTTGTTGTGCTCCACTTCTAGCGCGTGACTCGCGCTTAGCACTTGCCTCACTTTTGCCTCCGCGATTAACTATGGTTCGCCTGAAAAACGGGAAAAATTACGCTTTTTTTGCAGTAGTAAGGCCCAGATAGGATTGAACGTCAAAAAATTATTCTGTTCGTTCAAGCCTGAATTAAGTGGGCTTTTTTTTTGAACTATTAAACTCTAAAAAACAGAAAAGATTACTATACTGGAAGTTATAGATTGAACGTCTATAATGAAATTTCAAAAATGGTTTTTTTAAACTCAAATTATGTAGGATTTTTATGTCAGTACAAATATCTGTTAAGTCCACAATTTAGATCAGAAACAGCAGTCATGAAAAATTTTCAATTTTTTTTTTGGCAAATTTCGTCTTCTACTAACTAAATATACGACGACATTGTTCAAATTAGTTTAATTAAAGTGTTTCATATTTGCTCTTAAATCCTAAAATTTAAGAGCTTGATGATATCTTTGTCAGCTCGTCAATTTTTCTCGACATTTCGCTAAACTGTTTAAAATCTTGATGAGTATTTGTTTCACGCATGGCCAGGAGTATCGTCCATCAACCCTGCCTCTTCAATCATTTTTTACTTCCATGATACATACGATGCAATTACGACAACAAACTTCGGGTGAAATAATTGCTTAAGCGGATCATCAGGGAAGCCCCTTTGGCGCGATTCATCATTGTTTCGTTCCCATGTTAGTTTTAATGTAAGAAATTTCAGGATGAGTTGATTAAATTCGCACTTTGCTGATTCCTAATGTCAATGTCACTGTAGATTCTGGATGGAAATGCATTCCACTTTCGTCTTGTCGGCTTCATCACAATCTCGCAAACCTCTTCTAATGTCGTAAATTGGTTTTGGTTTTGGTTCTGGCTGAATGTACAGCGATCTGTTCGTAAAACAACATTTACACAGCTTGTTAAGAATAAATCGGAAGCTCAAGCGAAAATTAGGGTTGAAAAACGAGTAAATCGCTGGGTTGAATGCGCTGTTAGAGTACATTAGAAAAACCGCCACGAACACGTAGGTATCGCTACAAATGATGTCGTTGCGATAGTACGAACAGAATACCCAGCCAATCCAATAGGGTAAAATACAACAGTAAAATGTAAACACTATCATGGCTACCATTTTGAGAACACGAGCATTGATTCGCGCGTTTGTAAGGCTTCGGAATGACATTCTGGTTGTGGGTCTTCTTTCTCCACGCCAGAGACGAATGATTATCGCAGCGTAAAGTCCGACCGCAACAAGTAGTGTTAGTACAAGCAGTGACAGGAAAAACAAATACCAAACTCGCCAGTTGATAAAAAAGTGTCGCGTTTTACAGAAAACCGTCCCATTTTTCACCAACAAGTTCGCGTAATAAAACAAAGGGACACAATAGACAGCTGAACTAAACCAAGCGGTTGCAATGATGAACTGAGCCCTTTTGGCGGTGATGATTTTCCTCCGGGGATAACACACAGCTACAAACCGGTCTATGGCAATCAGTGTCAGATGGATCACTGAAAGATTCATGCAAAGCTTCTCCATGTAGTTCGTTGTCTTACACAAGAATATTCCCCAGTTTCCATGGATAAGCCATCGCTCATCGGCCAAAATTCTTGTGATTCTCTCTGGTGTGCTAGCCACTGTGAGGAGTAGGTCTCCGGCAGCCATGCTCACAATGAACATGTTATTGACCGTGTGGAGTTTTCCACCGATATTAAGTTTGAAGGCAAAGATAATCAATGTGTTACCGATGACAGACAGTGCGACAACTACACCATAAGCCAAACATTTGAAAGATTTCTCCATCAGCGAATCGCCTGCGTAGACATTTGGCGGCGAGGTTGTGTTTCCAATGCGAAGATCATTCATTTCCCACCACCACAAAGTCCTTTACTCTTATGGATTGACCTTTTCTGCGACGTTGGTAGCGTCAATTAGTGAGTATACCGAACGTCGTTTCTTGTTCGCGTGATTCCGTCGTTAACCGCTTTCCCTCTCCTTTCAGTGAATAAAATGAAACAATGAAATGTCAAACATAAATAATTCCACTCTCTGCGCTTAGTCATATTCCATTACAGATATACTTAGCGCTACGTTAGTTGTTCTATAAACATCACACGACTTATTACCAGCAAAATTTGAATTTAGTAAAGTGTTTGCATAGAGGAAAAACCTTTTATTCCATAAGCAAATTAAATATTTAATATTCGGCCTCAAACAGGCAAACATTTATTAGTATGCTTGGAAAATGGCCCAGAAATTAAGTGAATGTTATAAACAAAGGAAATCTCTGGGGGAAGCATCATCTTTGTGAAAGTTTCTTTATTTGTTTTCGATCAGGTTAAAAGGGATGTGAACTCCAACCAAGTTTTTCAAAGATTTCAATTTCCGAGTGGATTTTGAATGTTAAGTTTGAAAAATGACACCTTTCGTAGACGAAAAGGGAAAACAGCGAAAATTAAATTGTGTTATAGTCACTTTTGAACACATCGGCACTGTTCTGAATGCAGCTGCAGATAGCGATGAAATTAATTGAATTGTTATCTTATTAATATGAAATCGAGATTTCTGCTATTTACGCCGCAACGCATAGTGTTTGTGCATTCGTCTTCTACACTTCAGTTCTTCAACGATAACGGTTTACGAGAGAATATCTTTAAGAGATATGGACAAATTTACAGGTAAAATTACCCGTCAAGTAATTGTCTTCATTGCAATCTATACCTCGATATCAACTTTCAACTGCAAGAGCTTAAGGGAGTGCAATTTATCCCTGGAGTGTTTTTTATCATTTGTTTTAATCACCCTGTCGGCTTAACTGATTCAAATCGCTGAAAACAATACTCGACATTTGGATAAACAGATTTAATCATTTCCCATAATTTGATTAAAAACTTGCTGTTCTTGTCTATCAGAAGAATGTCAGCTTTGAATTCGAATGGTATGTTTGTATTGTCAAGAAGGAATGATTTGAAATTCTATCTTGTTCGCGTCTCTAACTAACTGCTTTTAACGACGAATGGAGACAATGACCTTCTCAAACTTACTAATGATTCATGAGGTCAACTACCAACCACAAGACGTATGCCGCATCACGGTGCATGTGTTTGCCGAATGCCCAATGAAAAACAGTATTGACCGAATCGAAGTACGGCGTCCAATTTGAATTGCCATTGTTCTGGACTTACAAGCCTCTCACACATGTGATAATCCTTTTGGGTTTCCACGTGAAGACGAGGCTAGTAAGTCTCAAACAATGGTAATTCAAATTTATGAAGGTAGATCCTGGACAAAATGGTCGATTCGTCGTTTCGTTATGACGTTTCGTCGTTTCGTTATGTCGAGTCGTTGTTTTCCGAGTTCGACTCGTCGAACTTTCAGTTCGTTTCGTCGTATTGTCAGTTCGATTCGTCGGCTGGCCTCTTCGACTCGTCGTTTTACGAGTCCGACTCGTCATCGACCACATCGGTTCGTCGTTTTGTCATTTCGTCATGGCGTTTCGTCGTTTCGTTAAGTCGTTTCGTTAGGTCGTTTCGTCGTTTCGTTATGTCGTTTCGTTAGGTCGTTTCGTTATGTCGTTTCGACTTGGCCACTCAACAGGAGCTATAATTCAACTTAAATTACATGATCTNAGTCGCTCTTCAAAGGATCCATTTTCTTCAGCAGAGAGCAAATTATCGATACCACGTTAATGACTCATGTAAGAGCGTATGGAATCAAGTAATTCTTCATGTAATTTAGGTTGAATTATAGCTCCTGTTGAGTGGACAAGTCGAAACGACATAACGAAACGACGAAACGACATAACGAAACGACGAAACGACATAACGAAACGACGAAACGCCATGACGAAATGACGAAACGACAAAACGACGAACCGATGTGGTCGATGACGAGTCGGACTCGTAAAACGACGAGTCGAAGAGGCCAGCCGACGAATCGAACTGACAATACGACGAAACGAACTGAAAGTTCGACGAGTCGAACTCGGAAAACAACGACTCGACATAACGAAACGACGAATCGAACATTTTGTCCAGGATCTACCTTCATACCAAAGTTTATACTCCTTCTTGCAAGTCTTTCGTGGTAAAAAGACCGCTGGGTTCCAAAGTACAGGAATTCAATAATCGATTCTGTTTCCATTCCTCGAAAACATTACACGACCATTTGGTTTTATGAGCTGTTGATTTCGGTACCGCATTATATCTCATCCTCTTCAGTTTTCGGCGGCCGAAATCTCTCAAACGACTTTGTTGTGGTAGGGGTGAAGTGAAGTGAAGTGAATGATTCGATACCTTAATAGCAGCATAGGCTGAATTGCTAAGGTCTACAGTGTTACTGAGGTTTAGATCGGACGTCAGCAATATCAGGCGCCTCTGGCAGCCGCTTTAGTCCATGTAACGACCTCACCGGTATACATCCCGACTGAACGACAACTTGTAAATGCTGCCAACTCCTCGAAACAATAAAAACACGAGGCCTAAGGCCTCGTGCTTTCATTTGTTCATCCATATATAAAAAGCGCATTAATTTTATCATTTGCATAAAGGCCTATGATGGCCGCACTAAAACGTTCTTTGATCTTGAACGTAAGGATAATGTTAAATACTTAGGGGTAATAATTGACCAACATTTATCCTGGAAACACCACATTAATTATATTGCTCTAAAAATCAACAGAAATATTGGAATTATTTCGAGAGTAAGACACTTTGTCCCTTTAAAAACACTTCTAAGTATTTACAATTCATTAATTTCTCCCTATATATCTTATGGCCTCATTGCCTGGGGCCAAGCTTCCAAATCTTATTTAGAAAAAATTCGGATACTCCAATAGAGACCCGTTCGCCTCATCAATTTTCTGATTTTCAGACCACATGCGATTCCATTTTTCGCCCAATCTAACATTCTGCCAATCTCAATGCTCTACTTCAAACTGTCATCAGTGTTAATGTTTGATATAACCGCTAACTCTGCACCTCAATATATCCGTAATCTATTTACTTCTACACAAGACATACATCAGTATAATACTCGCTCATCATCTTCTGGTAACTGCTATATTTAATCATTCTAGGCCCAATCATCATAAAAACTCTTTTTCCATTATAGGTGCTAAAATTTGGAACAGCATTCCCGAAAGCTATCGAAAACTACCAACGCACATGTTCAAAAAGAAAATTCAAGCATTACTATTTGAAACTCTAGAAACTCTGGACAGCTATGCTGACACTAGCACTCTTATTTCTTAAATAAAAAAGGCATCTTAATTACAATTCAATCATAAATTATAATATTTTTCTTCACTTTTTACCACTTTTTTTTTCCTCTTTTGACAAATAATGTATTCAAAAGCGACTTTTTTAACGCCTTCAATTAGTAATTCATGTTTGTTTGTCCTTAACATCGCCCGCCTGGATTAGCTCACTATTTGCAGGCGGTGTTCATTGTAAGTAATTGTTTTGGAAGACCTAATAAACTTGGAATACACTTGGAATAAACTTGGAATAACCTGTTCCTCGGCGGTACGTGTTTGGACACCTCGATGAAACACGAAGCGCAAGTTTTGGAAATACTACTTCCTTGTTGGTTTTCTCCACTCTCTGTTGTAACCCCCGCACAGTTAGCCCAATGGATAGTGCGCTGGACTGTTGTGCGGCAGGTCGAGACCAACACTCAAGGTCTTAAAACAATTGAGAAGAATTTGCTACCTATCTATAACATTAAGAAATGGTTGGATATTCTAGTCTTCTCGGATAGGGACAAATAAATGGAGGTCCTGTCTCCTGCAGGGTTAGGGGTAGGAGACGTTAATTACCCACACACGAGATTACTGTGTGGTGGATGTCCTCCCCTGGGGTGGGGAGGTTCTGTTCCTTTCTCCTGCCATTCCCGTGGCGAACAAATTAAATTCTTCTTTAAAAATTATCTACCTGAGGCTGTTATCACGAACATATTAAAGTAAATATTGGTCAGAAGTTCTTTTCAGACTAATGACCAACCAGGCACTTTTAAATGCGCTCGTGCACGATGCAAAACGTGTCCTTTCATTTACAACACTGATAAAATATCGGGACCTAAACGATCCATTAAGATCACCGATCACTTCACGTGCACCTCCGCCAATGTAATCTATTGCATAACTTGCACTTATTGCAAAAAGATATACATCGGCGAAACAGGCAGAAGACTAGGTGACCGATTCCGAGAACACCTTCGAGACGTGGAAAGGAATGACAAGGACACATCGAAACCAGTCGCTAGACATTTTAATTTACCTAATCATTCTAAGCAACATATGGCAATCTGCGGTCTTTCCTT